TGAATTCTGTGTCGTGAGGATTCTGTGTCATGAGGATTCTGTGTGGTGATTTTCTGTGTCGTGAGGATTCTGTGTGGTGAGAGAAATGATTCTGTGTGGTGATTTTCTGTGTCGTGAAGATTCTGTGTGGTGACGTGATATTTTCTGGGTCGTGATGGAGCAGTGCTTTACCACCTCATGACTCAGAAAATTGCTCCAAAGATGTTTCGGGACTACGTGATGGAGCGAGTGTGTACCGGGTGTTCCAAAAACGGCAGTTCTTTGGGTTGCATATGCTCGTACCTGCAGGCGCTGGGGACGGGCGCGGCCACGTGCCCTCGGTCAGCCAATGGGTAGAAGGTGCCGTGCCATCCCGAATATGAATGTTTTTTCTGATCACTCTCAACAGTAGTGCAGTAAGGCATGTAAAAATACCTTTCACTTCACATTCACTTTCTGTTTAAATTTTTTCTGTTTTTCCCACGGTGGTTCACGGTGTAGATGATGTATACCTGGGAAACCTTTAGCATTAAGATGGTACATCAGGGCACCTTTTACATTCCTTTGCCAGGGATGGTAAGGGTGGTCCTGCATCAGTACCTAGGTACTGCAAAGGTACTTTGGAAAGATCAATACCTAGGTACTGTACCGGTACTTCAGTCCACTACCTAGGTACTTTTAGGTACTTCGTAGGTACTGTTCAGCATATTCCCGTTATGACCTGTTCCCGTCATGCACCTAATATTTTACGTTACCACTCACCAATACCGAGTCCCTTTATTATTAATTTTTAGCAGTGTCGTTATTTAGTTGGCCAATAACAGTGACCGCTCTTTCTCGCTCATGTGAGTGGGTTCATCAAACGTTCCCCTTTCCGCTTGCAAGCAATGCACGGTCAAGGACACGGCCGGTGCTGCACATTGCGCACGTCTTTTGTGCAATGGACCTGTCGTGGCCCCAAAACATGTTGTCTGTAGTCTGAAGGAGGGGACGGGGGTGGGGAGGGGGCGCATTCTGCCGCCCTTTGTCTATTCGGGGAAGATGGTTGACCGGGAGGCCAGCCGGAACGAATTCTCCATACCCTACTCCCTCCTCGACACACACGTGGTGCCAAAACAAAGCCCTCCCGGAAAATATAGTTTGGTGGCGACGAGTATTCTCCTCTTCCATTCGGTGGTCATTGCTTTTAAAGTACTTTGGGAATTACCTACATAAAGACGGTATCGGTATCCTAAAAAGTACCTAGGTAAGGCAAGGTAAGAAAAAAGTACTGTACTACTGTACTACCTAGGTATTAGTCATACTGCCTTTGACCATCAATTTGACATCCAAAATAGTTTATGTTGTTGGCCATGCTAAACCACGTACTATGAATGGTGTTTCTGGCCACTTTTAGCAGTAAACCGGTGTACCGCAATACCTTTCACTTCCCTTTCACCACCAGTTTTGGGCCCAAATTTGTATTGTTTTTGACCACAGTGGTCAGCGGAGTATAAATTGGGTTCCTCGCGCAACCCCAGAAATAAAAAGATAAATCGTAATACCTTTCACTTCCCTTTCACCAGAAATTTGGCAGCGAAAATGGTTTATGTTGTTTGCCATGCCAAACCACGTAGTACGAATTGTGTTTCTGGTCACTTTTAACAGTGGTATACCGCAATACCTTTCACTTCCCTTTCACCAACAGTTTGACATCCAAAATGGTCTTTGTTGTTTGCCATGCCAAACCACGTACTATACATGGTGTTTCTGGTCACTTTCGACAGGAAAGCGGTGTATCGCAATACCTTTCACTTCCCTTTCACCACCAGTTTCGGGCCAAAACTGTTTTGGTTTTCGGCCACAGTGGTCCACGGAGTATAAATGATGTTCCTGGCGAAACCCCAGAAATTAAAAGGTTAAGTGGAATACCTTTCACTTGCCTTTCACCAGCAATTTGACATACAAAATGGTTAAGGTTGTTTGCCATGCTAAACCACGTACTATGAATGGTGTTTCTAGTCACTTTCAAGAGTATAGCGGCGGTATACCGCAATACCTTTCACTTCCCTTTCACCACCAGTTTCAGGCCAAAAATTGTGTCTGTTTGCGTCAGGGTCCACGGAATATATATGATGTTCCTCGTGAACCACTAGAAAGAAAATGTTAATTTGCTGGTGAAAGGGAAGTGAAAGGTATATCAATGTGCTTCCTATTCCTAAGTATCACTGGGAATATTATTCATAGTCTGTGGGCCACCGCAGTAAGAAGCAGAAACAATTTCTGCCCGAAACAAACAGTATAACGGTTTTTTTGCAATACCTCTCACTTTCCTTTCACCACCAGTTTCGGGCCAAAATTGTTATTGTTTTTGCCTACAGTAGTCCGCGGATTAAAAATGATGTTCCTAGCGAAACCCCAGAAATTAAAAGGTAAATTGGAACACCTTTCACTTGCCTTTCACCAGCAATTTGACATCCAAAATAGTTTATGCTGATTGCCATGCTAAACCACGTACTATGAATGGTGTTTCTGGTCACTTTTAGCAGTATACCGGTGTACCGCAATACCTTTCACTTCCCTTTCACCACCAGTTTTGGGCCCAAATTTGTGCTGCTTTTGACCACAGTAGTCAGCGGGGTATAAGTTAAGTTCCTCGCGCAACCCTAGAAATAAAAAGGTAAAACGTAATACATTTCACTTCCCTTTCACCGCCAGTTTCGGGCCAAAATTGTTATTGTTTTTGCCCACAATGGTGCACGTAGTATCAATGATATTCCTGGTGAACCCCAAGAAATAAAAAGATAAATCGGAATACCTTTCACTTCCCTTTCACCACCAGTTGCGGGCCAAATCTTTTTCTGTTTTTGGCCACAGTGGTCCACGGAGTATAAATGATGGTTCTGGCGAACCTCCAGAACTGTGGCCAAAAACATTTTTGGCCCGAAACTGGTGGTGAAAGGGAAGTGAAAGGTATTGCGGTGTACCGCTTTACTGTTAACAAAAGTGACCGGGAAAACAATTTATCGTCCATGGACCAGTGTGGCAACAAGAAAAACATAAGCCATTTTTTATGGTAAATAGCTGCTGAAAGGGATGTGAAAGGTGTCGTGATGTACCATCTTAACGCTAAAGGTTTACGAGATACACCGTGGGAAAAATAGAAACAATTTCGGCTTGAAACGGGAGGTAAATGTGATGTGAAAGGTATCCCGCGAAGGACGTGGCTCGAACCCGAAGGGTCGAAAGAGCCCGCGGGGCGCGAGGAACCGCGGGCTCGCTTGACACTCTCAGGTGAATGAGGCACCATGTGGGGTACGCAA